CCACGTAGATAAGGTGCTTATAGGGGTGTTTCCAGGAAGTGATTTGTTTAGAAGCTAATTGTTTGGCACTTTGAGCTTTCTGGGAGAGAAGTGCCTTGGGAGTAAAAATAGAGCGTACCTGAGATTTAAATTCTGGGGTCTCCACTGGGAATAGCCACAACAAAGCTTTTCATTTAGTGTAATGTATCATGGTTTTCAAAAGGTCATTAGAGTCTACACAACCATTTTTGAGATGAGAATAGTTTTCGTCCCGTTTTGCAGAAATGGAAACTGAGGTCCAAAGAAATGATGTGACTTGTGGAGGAGTGACTAAACAGTAGAGTTTTGTTGAAACCTGGTTATTCCAGGCTCCTGGTCTTTCTACCACCCCAGGATCCTCTTGGTTTGGAGAAGGGGGTTGGGACTGAGAAGAGCAGCAACAGCCTGCTTCTGTCACACATTGGGACTTGCCTTGGGATGATGATTCTGTGGCAAAACCCAGGTGTTGGAGTCCAACTTCTGTCCCGGACAAGTCATTCATCTCACTTAGCCTCAGTTTTCTCATCTACAAAATGGGTATGATAAAGCTGGCTCTCCAGGGTTAAGGGAGATAATGCAGGCTGAGTGCCTGGCACGTAGTAGGTGCTGGACAAGTCCAGTCCAGTACCTCTGCTTGCTTGACCTTGTGTACCGACCCTTAGGTTTGCTGGTTCTTGGCTTGGTGACCTATCTATTAAGACAGCGATAGGGTAGGGAAGGGTGTTGCCATGATCCCACTACAGCTTACTCTTGTTCATGATGTTACTGGGAGGCATCTGGGGTTCCCAGTAACCAAACTCAGCTCAATTCAGACCCAACAGAAAAAAATGACTTCTGAATTTATAACCTCCCTCTTACCACATTGTCAGTGTTGTATGCATTTGCTCCTGGGTAAGTAGGTAGCAAAAGCAGTTCCTTTTATAGAGGAGGAAACTGAGGGACAGAGAAAGTGATTTTCTGTCCAGGCTCACTTGACACATCCTTCAGGAAGTTTAGAGTAGGATGAAATCACTTTGCTACTGGGCTTCTCCAGACAGAGTTTTGTCTAGTTCTAACTTCTTTTGTTCATTTCAGCTGGGAGGCAGTTGAGTTAAAACTCTAGCTCACTGTTTTGAACTTCAGCCCACACCCCTCCAGCAAAATAATCAGCATTCATGTAGCCCAAGCCAAGGAAAGAGACGTCTTTGTTCAAATCGTCCCACTGTACTTTGGGAATCCAGAAACCTGGCAAACAGGCTTTTAAGTTAATAGATTTTATTTACTGACACCAAGAGTCTGCCTTCCCATAGCGTGTGCAGGTGTCTTGGTCTCCTCTTCTGGGAGCTGTGTGACTCATGTGCTTGAGGGCATGCTGTTAACTGAACCACCTTTCACAGCTACTCAGCTCAGGGGCTCAGGCTCCTCTCCCTCAGGAGAGGACGGATCTTGAGTCTGAGGAGTTGAAGACAGAGTCAGTCTCTGCCCCACCAGGCTCTTAAGTGGGGAACACACCTGTGTTCACTGAAAGGCGATTCTTTCAGTATTGTCTCCCTTCGGGAGGCTATATAAATATATAACACCATTGATAGTCCTATTGTTCAAAACGCATGGTAAACAACCTCCAGAACTTTCCATTCAAGCCAGCTTTTTAGCCAAGTGGGAAAATTGTTTTTGAGGCTCTTTTTTTTTTTAGGTTGGGGGTAAGTAGAAGGGCAGATGGAGAGAGAGAGAGAGATTCTTAAGCAGGCCTCAGTGCAGAGCCTGACATGGGGCTCAGTCTCGGGACCCTGAGGTCATGACCTGAACTGAAATCAAGAGTCAGACGCTTTACTGACTGAGCCTCCCAGGTACCCTGAGACTTTTTTTATATCCTTTTTTTGGGGGTACCCAGTGGTATTCCAAGCATGACCACCGCATGTTTTGTTTTGCTTTGTTTTTTAAACTAGTTGTAGTTCCAGATAACTAGTTATGTCCCAAAGTCATATTTACCATTGGGAGACCTGGGAGTTCATTACCGTTATTAAGGAGATTCAGAGGAACATCCTCTGAAGGCCGATCTTGTCACTGGGCTGAGTGCGTAGCTGTGTGCACCTTGTTCTTTCAAAGAGCCAGGTCAGGGACTGCGAGGTAGGGATCGAAACTGTTGCTCAAGCTGGGAGCTGTCCCTGCCCATGGGGAACCCTGATGAAGACATTCACTGTTTGTAGAGACAACACAGTCTCTTCTCTGGGGCAGATATAGTTTGGGCTTTAGTCATATCGCCTGATAAGCCAGCTTTCTCTGGGTGTGGCTGAGCAGAGGTCTCTGTAAATGAAGGTGGAGTTGTCCTCATGTTTTTCTTTCTTCTTCTACTCTGCCACACTCCAGCCACCCCTCTCCCCGCCCCTGCTGCAAACCACTGTGTTCCACTGTCCCTCACTGATGTTCAGTGTTGGGACCACAACCAGTCCTTCTCCAGCTGAAATCTTTTCGTAATTGGCTCCTTAGGTGGTGGTTGTACCTTCCTTCCTCACCCATCCAAAGTGTAAGACAGTACGGTTGTCTGGAGGAGCTCCCTGACCAGTCAGCATCCCTGAATGGGGTGGGGACATGGGGCTAGAAAGCAGGAGGTGATTAAAGTCAGAGCTCAAGATTGTAAGGCACAGAAAGGGTGCAAGTGGCCATCATCATGGACCATCCAGGCCAGTCACACATCCATCTGAATAGCCTTTCTTTGTCCCACAGAGGAGAAACAATATAGCCAGTTGATGGAATGTGATGTGGTCATTTAAAATGATGTGGTTGTGGGGCACCTGGCTGGCTCAGTTGGTAGAGCATGTGACTTTTGATCTCAGGGTTGTTAGTTCAAACCCCGTTTTGGGCATAGAGCTTACATAAAAATAAATAAAAATAAATAAAATGATGTTGATGTGTTGAAAATAATAGAGAAAATGTTTAATTTATAATAAGTTTAAAAAATCAAAATGCAAAATCATAAACATAGTATCATAACAATTATATAAAAACAAAAAAGCACTCTTTTCCCCCACACCACCCCCAAAACCAGACATATAAAGAAGAATGGAAGGATATATACCAAGTGTTAAAAATGATATTCCTTTGGGTAGCAAGAGTATGATCATTTTTTTTTCCTTTTAGATTTTTAAAAAATATTTCCCAAGTATTCTATAATAATCCTCTGTCTATGTCTTAAATGGGAGCAATTTCAACTTGATAAATCCCAAACAAACCTATATTATTGTTAGACTTTGTGTCCTCAATTTTGGCATAGAGCTACAGCCGCCATAACTGAGAACTCATCCTTGTCTCAACCTCTGGAAATCTGAACGTCAGGCAAGATGAGGTTCCAGGCAGACGTTTTGGGCATAGTTCTGCTTGGAGGCAGGGGCTGGACAAGGCAGCCTCTCAGGGCCTTTCTCACCCCCCTGTTGGCGATTATCTCTCTGCGCCATGCAGCCTCCGCCAACGGCGAGCGGGCTGAGTGCTGTGACATTCTCTGAGTGGGGAGCAGGAACAAAAGTCTGGCTGGGACGGAGGCCGGGGGCAGGGAATCTGAAGTGAGTGCCTGAGCTGATAAGGAGCCAGTGATCTTTCCGCCTGGTGGGACTTGCACCTCCAGCTGCCAAGCATCTGGTAGAGCTCAGCCCCTCGGAAAGCTGGTCCCGCTGCAGTGGTCCTGCTGTTGGCACAGCTCACAGAGCACAGTGGTCACGGCTACTTCCATGAAGAAGTAATGGTGCCGGGCGTTGGGGCTCCGTCTTGGGGCGCAGGAAGGATCCCTTATCCTTTGTGCAGTAGCGGTTTTGAAGGAACCTGCCTCTCTCCAAGGTGGAAACTAGGATTTTCCCTCGTGGCACCTCTGTAAAAGTGAGCCTGGCGAATGGACACCCAGAACGCTGCTTCCTCGTTGGGTCTTGTCTGGATGCTCCCTCTCTTCAGGCTCCTGGCCCAGGCCTCCAAATCCAATTTCCGCCTCTCCTCAGGCAGGGAGCCTCAGTATATTGCCGCTGCCTGGATCGTGTTGCCCATCAGGGAACCCAGCCACAGAACAAGGAGACTCACACTTGGAGGAAGGCTTACTGATCCCGGAGTTAGTAGAGTCTGGGAATCAGGCATCAAGATGTTCAGGGATAGGCACTGAATTTGTTGGAGGCACTCGCTGCCTTCCAGGCTTGGAAGGACTGCCGAATGCTGGAGCTGTGTGGAGGCAGGTGAGAAGGGTTCTCTGTAGTGTCTCTTGAGTGTCCTACTGAGATGTTCCCAGAGTTCTGGCTCTCTCAGGGCAGGCAGACCTTCTTGACAGGAAGCATGGTGTCTCTGGGTGCTGTTGGGGATGCACAGAGGGGCTTTCCATTGGGGTCCCAGGCATGTTTCATTGCTTCCTGCTCCCAGGCATGGCACAAGGGGTTAATATCTCTGATGGTTCTATTTTGGGGCAAAGGAGTGTTCCTAGAATAGGGTTCTTTGTTGAGTAATCTATTTTGGGAGGCAAGCCCCACTGGCGTTTATGTAAGCGATTCTCTGTGTGTATCTGGGGGTGTGGATGTGTGCGCAAGTGATTTCTTATTACTAATTATAAGCAGTTTCTTTTGGGAGCCAGAGAAATGGAGGGGGGTGTGTGTGTGTGTGTGTGTGTGTGTGTGTGTGTGTGTAAGGAGTATGGGTTTCTCTCATGTGAAGAGTGGCACAGCTGTGTATGCACATCTGATTGGGCAGTTGCCACAGACACCCATTAAGAGATTAAATGTGGGGACCTTAGGACAGCAGGCAGGAATGATGGCCTTGGCCCCTTTGTGGGGTGTCAGCCATGAAGGTGTGTCCAGCTGTGATCGTCTTGAGTCCCTGAAGCAGGTGGACTTTGTGGTCCTCTGGTACAGTCTGGAATCTGGTATTTTCCAAAAGATCAGTCATGGTACATGAACCAGTTCTAGTTTGGAGCAAATCTCAGGTTCCACTTCCACTGCAGCCTGGCACTTACTGGACTCTCTCATGTCTTCCCTCAGGCCACATCCACATATGTCAAAGCAAGAGAGAAACCAAAGGCCATCCAGCATGGTCAGTGAGACGTCCACAGCTGGAACTACGTCCACCGTGGAGGCCAAGCCTGGTCCCAAGGTGAGCTCCTGGCCACTCACTCCTTCCTTCCACCCTTTAATATTGTGCAGGTGCCCATCGACCCCCACCATTGTTTTGTGAGGGAGGCATGTAAGAAGTATCTTCCTCAAAGGTCAGATCAGGAAGTGGAGACCAGTTGGGGTTATGTCACTTGTCCAAGAAAACAGGTGATTGCTGGCAGAACTGGGACCGACATCTGAGTCCTTGGATGCCTTCTTCATTTTTCTGACTTGTCTTGGGAGGGCCACACCTCTGTTCACAGGTGTGTTATGAGACTGCCTGGTGGGATTTGTGGCCGGTGGGCCTGAGGAAAGGTGAGATGTGGGACCATTGACTGAAGAGCAGGGAAAAGAACCAGCATTGCAGAGAAGGGGTGAGTGCTGAGGACTAAACCCAGGTAGGACGGTAAATAGCTGGAAATTGGCAAAATCTATGATGGAAAAGTAGCTTTGCTCCAGAAAGCCTAGGACATATGAAGGCCAACAGCTGCTGGTGAAAGTTCATTGAAAAATCCCTTTAAGTTTTTTTTTTGTTGTTGTTTTGTTTTTGTTTTTTTCCCTCCGTGACCTAGACGGGAAGCCTGCTAGGCCTTGGATTCGCCTTTTAATTAAAATGCTGTGGCCTTGTGCCCGCCTATTCTGGTCTCCTTGCTATTCTTTTCATCAAAGGGCACTGCTACTCAGAGTAAGGCAGAAGAGCCTACAGCTCTCCTATCGTGTAGGTGCTTTTTGTGACTCCCGAAGTCCCCTAAGTGCTGCTAGAATTTGAGTCTGCTTCTTCCTAGATCATGAAGTCCAGCAATAAAGTCCACAGCTTTGGGAAGAGGGACCAGGCCATTCGGAGGAACCCCAATGTTCCGGTGGTGGTGAGGGGATGGCTGCACAAGCAGGTGAGGAGACTGGGAGGGGAGGGGGGGAGGGGGGTGGCTCTAGCTGATCTCTGTCCTTACCCTGGCCCCTGGGAGCTGAGAACAGACTCTTAATAAGCTCTCTGTTCCTGGCTTTGTCTGAGGGAGATGTGCTGTCCATTTTTATGAGTGGATTGTCTTCTCAGTGGCTATAGCTTCCCTCCCCAAACCTACTTGACCCCTTGGGTTCCCAGTACTATTGGCTGCCCCGGGACCCAGGCACTCACTGGGTGGGTCAGTATGAATCCATCCTTACCCACAGTCCCCGGCCAGCACTTGGCCTCTTGATGTTAAAGAGCCTTTGCTATCATTTGGCTGAAAAATCCTATCTTTTCCTCTCCCCTGGTCTAGCACACATGTCTAGCTCCCCAGTACCTTGGATTTCGAATCAGCCAAACTCAAACTCATTGCCTCCTCACCCCTTACCTCTCTTTTTTCCCCAGCCTACTTTTTCTGGATCTTAGTGACGATACTACCGTTCTCCTAGGTACCCTGGTTAGAAACAGCTCTTTCTTCTCCTACATCCCTCCACTCGTGAATCCCTGTCAGCTCCCCTGAGGCTATCATGCATCTCTCAACTCGCTACCAACTGTTCTGTCTCATGTCCTCTGGCCACAAATAGGCTGTGAGCTCCCAGGGCCAGAGAGCATGTCCCTTTTGTCTCCTTCCTTCTCTCCTTGCCATCCATCCATTTGTCCTTCTGCCTATCTGTTTACCAAGTGCCTGCCAGGTTCTTTTTTTTTTTTTCTTTTCTTTTCTTTTTTTTTTTTTTTTTAATTAAGATCCCCTCAAAGATTTATTTGTTTTCAGGAGAGGGAGAGAGAGCGCATGCAGCAGGGAGGGGCAGGGGAAGAGACAGGGAAAATCTTGGTAGGCTCTGCACTGAATGCAAAGCCCAACGTGGGGCTTGATCCCACAACCTTGAAATCATGACCTGAGCTGGAAACAAAAATTGGACACTTAACTGACTGTGCCACCCAGGATCCCCTGCCTGCCATGTTCTAACTGCTTCCACAGCATGGATAAAGAGCTGAATAACATGTGATTCCTGCCAGTGAGGAACTCAGTTTCCTGGGGAAACAGACACATCTCTCACATGTCCTCTCATCGCCCTCATCGTCTCTCACATATCATACCATCCAAAAAAACACAAACTCCAAGAGCTATGATGTTAATTTTTACCAAATGCTTTGAGGGAAGACAGAAGAGGGCATTATATTGTGCACTACATGGAAGAGGTTCCTGGAAGTCCCCTCGAAATCTCTTTCCCATCAGACTCCCCAAGGCAGCTTCCATAGCTAACCTTCTCTGTCAGACACAGTGCTGGCATCTCTCTCAGTGACCCCACTTCCCTCACAGCTGTGTCTCTTTCCTTGCCTCTCTGCCCAACTCTTTGCCTGAATAACCTTCTGACTTTTCCACTTGCATCCCCGTCCCCAATAAACAAAAGTATGCTCCTTTGATATGTGGAGGAAGAAGGAAGGGGCTGTAAGTAATTCTCCCCAGCCCCCACTGCCCAGCCCAGTAACTGTAAGAGGCCTGTGTGGAGTGCTGTGGACACACAACACAGAGAATGTAGCTGTGCGTGGGGGAGTCCTGAAAGGCTTCCCAGAGGAAGTGACATTTGCACTAGGTGTGAAAGGATGGAGAGGAGTTTTCCAAACAAAGCAATATGTCAAGATCTTAGAGATCATCTGGTCAGAGCAGAAGATAAAACCAAGAGATGCATGAACTCAGCAAGTTAAATTTGTTTTTAGCACTTTAATAAGTGGAGAGTGAACAAAACTTCATGCTGTGCTTAGGTTTAGAGACTAACACAACTGTTATTTTTTTAAATTTAAACTTGTCGAAAAATTTGCAGAAGGAAAACTTTTTTTAAAAAAGATTTTATTTATTTATCTGACAGAGAGAGAGCACAGGTAGGCAGAGCAGCAGGCAGAGAGAGAGGAAGAGGCAGACTTCCTGCTGAGCAGGGAGCCTGATGTGGGACTTGATTCCAGGACTCTGGGATCATGACCTGAGACATTTAACCGACTGAGCCACCCAGGTGCCCAGGAAAACAGTTTTAACAGCTAAAAGCAACTCTGGAGTTTTCCTAGGTTTGGGAGAAAAATGACCCTACAGCTCTACTATTTTCCTACCCTGGCCTTATTTATTATTTTTTTTTTAGAATGTTTACAATCACCTAAAATATTTTTAATGAATGTATTGATTTACATTTTAGATGCATAAAGATAAATTCATGTTATGAGGCAATTGATAGCAAGACAATCCAAGTCTCTTACACTGAATGAAAGGAAAATCCATTCTGTGTAAATCAATTTTCTCTTCAGCAAAAGAGAAGATATTTTCCAGAATAGCACCTAAATAAATAAATAGCTTCCTTTTTGTTAAAAACTGATTTCTTTCTTAATGGAAGAACTGTATTTTTTGAATTCACATCTTTCTTTCTAAAAGGAGGATATTTACATTAATCTGTTTCCAGGAAACACACAAAACTTCCTGGGGACAAACCATCATTGAATCTAAATTTGAAAGTCCTATTAAAATATGACCATGCAGTAAACTTATTAATTCATTAATTTATTGAAAGAACGAGTGGCTATGGGTAAGTCTTGGTTCTAACATCACGCCTTGCATGATTGGAAAGGGGAAAGAGTATGCTCAGATATTGTCTGATTAGTTTTTTTTTGCTTTGCAGGACAGTTCTGGAATGAGACTATGGAAAAGGAGGTGGTTTGTGCTCGCTGATTATTGCTTGTTTTACTATAAAGGTGAGCTGAGGCTCAGGCCATCAAGGGCTCTTTTTGCGGGAGGGGATGGTGAGGTGATACAGGGGTTATATTCTCAAACCCAGTGACTGGACCAGTGGCCCAAGCTAGTTTATAACCTGTTTACTTGCCAAAGTGTTCACTTTTACATATGTGAATGGCTGATGACTTCATTTTTACCAGTCCTTATACTTGAAGTGCCACTTGTTGAGTTAAAATAAATAGAATCCAGTTTATCTGCTACTTAGGCTCTCCAAGTCTGGAGTTGTCTCAGCTTCTACCCCATTTGGAACACAGGCATGCCTTCAACACCATCTGGAGAGGTGGGAAGTGTAGATAAATCACTGTATTTTATAACTTGTTGTCTGGATCTATCCCCTGTAATATTGGATGAACCAACTTGTGAATTTAGTTGGCCACATGTACATTTTTGGAGTGCCAGTACAAAGAGTTAGGGCTATGCAATAGTGAGAAAGAAGTAAGACTCAAAATGTGGAGGAAGAGAGAGTTTTCTTGTAAGACAGACTAGGCTGTGTTAGGTGCTTTAAAGGACATTCAGTGTGCTTAAGCAATTCAGGGGGAGCAATAAATTAATTCCATGTTGGAGAATTGGGGGAGGCTTTTCAGAATCAATGGAATTTGAGTTGGGCTTATAAAGGTAGGTAGAGCTTTGCCTGCATATGGGGGCAGATGGGCATTTCAAGCAGAGGAAGCAACTTGAATAAAGTTCTGGAAGCAGAAGAAAGTGGAAGGACAGACCTGTGAGGCCAAAGTGAGTCTTGCATGCAGGACATGGTAGAAAGATGGCTCAGGAAGTGGGTAAGAGCCAAAATGCAAGGGGGTTGTGCCACTAGGTAGAGTAAGTTAAACTGCGTTTTGCATCCAGTGGGCAGTCAGCAAGTGTCCTTGAGTAGGAGAGCAGCAAGACCAATGCTGTCATTAGGAAGTTACCTCTGTGATGAAGATAGTTTGGAGGAGGAGGAGAATAGATGTAGAAGGTAGGCTATTTCGCACATGCTCTAACTTTGCCTATGAGGTTTGCTCTTCCCAGAATGCCCTTCCCCATCCTTTAAAACACTTTAGTTATCTCCTTCCAAAGCCTTCTCTGCCTCCCCGGACTGTGTGCCGCTTCTGCCTCTGTGTTCCCACAGTACTCGGCATACTGCCCTGTTTCAGGAGTTCACAGGTTGCACTGAGCATGTCTCTGTGCCTGTGTCTGACCCCATCTGACTCACCTGTGTCATTCCCGCATTAACTGCAAGGTCCCCAGGGAGCACCTGAATGGACGATCAGTGATGACAGTAGTCCTAGGGAGCTATAAGGGGCCTTGAATGGGGGCAGTGGGATGGCCCAACCCAGGAAAGGGTCCACAGAAGATGATTCTGATGTGTTTTTTCCATTCAAAGACAGCCGAGAAGAAGCGGTCCTTGGGAGCATCCCTCTGCCCAGCTATGTGATCTCGCCTGTAGCCCCTGAGGACCGCATAAGTCGCAAGTATTCCTTTAAGGTACTGCCCCCTCCCCTCCAGGGTTGCAGCTCCACCCTAACAAATTTTGTGTTCCTAAAAATGGCCTCATAAAAGCAGTTGTTTTATGTGGGGAGTGGGGAGAATTTAAGAAGCTAGAGTATTTCAGGTGTGTGTTAACAATGTTGTAAATTCTTTAAATGATAATACCACATCAGAAGTACTTTCATTTGTATCTGAGCTTCTGAGTCCCTCAGCTTTGCTCAAGTATTCAGACCGTCTTTCCTATCTCTACCAGTCCTGTGATTCCTCGTCCCCCTCATGCCTTCTTATCACTGCAATCAGCCGGTCTAATTAGTATCCTTCACTTCCTGCAAGTGACGGTCACTCATCATGGATTTATAGCAGTTCTATTATGAAAACTTACATTGAGGATTAGAAGCTCATGTTGAAGAGCTTTTCAAGTTTGTCTGCTTCGTTTTTCTTGTTGGAAAGCAAATAGAATCAAATTTGATCTGTTTTCTGGATCACTAAAGGTTCCCACGGAAATCCCTTCAACAGTAAAACCCCTTTTCTACTTTCTGCTTGGTCACATGTCAAGCGAGTGTGGCCGTGATGACTGATGGTGGTCCTTTGACGCCCTCTGGCCTCTTCAGAGCTGGGCGTGGAGGCTCCAGGAAGGTGGTGGTCAGGCCCAAACTTGGGGAATCCTGGGGCCACCTCGTCTGGTTACTTCCACGCATTCCTTCCCTTCTGCTTTTTTTTGGGTCTCCTAGGGATGGTAAGGATAGGGTGAGTTGAAATTCTATTTAATTGGCGGTTGAGTGCAAGTCTCAGCACTGAAGTAAGCGGCCCTTGGTGCCAGTAACCACAGGGGAACGCCCTCTCACACTGCTCAGGATACAAGGCAATGAAGCGCATTTCAAGTGGGGGAAGGGGCCCCTGCTTCCACTACTCATGTAGCTTAGCTGTTCATATGTTGAGGGTGTAAGGTGAGTACTGGACATTAGGTACTAAAGCAGAGGTTGAACAGAAGTCAAGTTTGCCAGTCATAGAGAGCTAAAGGATCATGGAAAAGCACAAGATAAGATACTCAGCATTCTCTGTGAACGTTAAAGAGAGCATTGGTATGTGGTATCCACGGGGTCTGCGTCAGCATCTTGATCTTGAGTCCATTGTGGGGGTGGTGGTTGGAAAGTCAGTCTCACCCTCTACCTTTCCTTCTGGGCTGATGATTTAGCTTTGTTCTTTGCCAGGTTTGAACTGTCCCTCTCTTTCCCTTGGCTGTCTCAAGCCCTGATGACTGCAGAGTTGCTGTCGGTTGAAGATTCTGGGATCCTTCCCTATTTCTTGTTGCATGCCTTATATTTGTAAAATCGTTAATGACCAGAGAAGTTCTTCCATCCATGTAAGCTCATGTAAGGCTGTGGAGAGCCAATGTTGTAAGGTCAGTGTTATGAAGTTTGTTTTATAGATTAAGAACATGAGGATTAGAGTACTTAAGATACTTGCTCAAAGTCACAAAGCTGGAAGATGGTGGTGACAGAACTTGAATGTGAACTATGTCCTCTTACAGTTGCATTCAGGGAGGGAGGACAATTTCTTTCTCTTCCTCTCTACTTTTCTTCCACATCTTATTTTGGTCACCTCTTGCACACACACTGCAGGAGGTAGGAAGTGATTCGAATGAATGTCTATTGTTATCATTTTAGGAATACTTTTCTATTTAATCATTCAGAGGCCTCTCCTGCTGATTGATGGCTCTGAAAACATTGTGTTCAGTGGGTTTCAGACTGGTCTTTTGCAGCCTAAAAGTCTTCCTCAGAACACCTTCCTTTCTAGGGTTCAGTGTTGCTACTGGGCAAACAGTTGGGATAATGTTGTATGTAATTTTCAGGGACAGCATTTGAAATATGGTCACAGTAACTGATTGTAACTATATATATTTCATTTTAACACTTCACTGGGGAGGTGTGAAAACAGATTTAGAAAAACATCTTTTATGTGTCATAGACTCTTTTCTTTTTGAAAAAAATTTTCTTAGAAGGATTTCAGTAAGAGTGTCCTTAAGCTAATTTTTTTGTCTGAGAGACAGAGGCATGCATGTATGTGGGGGATCCCTGTGGGGGGTCCTCAGGGTTTGAGAACAGACAAAAGCTGCTGCAGGCAGGTCAAGTGGTGTCCTGCTGGTTCTCCACAGAACCAGCTGTGGTTTCCTGATAGTGGAAGAGTTCCCTTTCCCTTGGGTTGCAGTGTGGTTCTTTTAAGGGCCAGTGAGTGGGACCCTTGGGTAGTTCAATATCTATGTTCTTGGGCACACTGAGAAATGCACAGTGTTTAGTGTCCTGGGCCTTATGCCTGCTTCTGATGTCAACTCTTCATTATGTCCAGAGCTGAAATTCTCTGGCTGTTGCTAAGGACACCTCACCTGAGACTGTTGACAGTATCTGTGGTAGTAGATAGGAACAGCCTGAAAGGTTATATGGTCCCTTCTTTGTCTTTCTTTTTCAATTGTGTGTGCAGCCTGGCAGCCCCTGTGCCTTACCAGCTGGTGCTAGATGGACCCTGAGACACAGACAGCTCTGTATGAGGGTGAAGCAGGGCTCTTGGTAGGGTCTAGAAGGCATTCTACAATGCCCTGACCACCAGGCCTTTTGTGCTCTGCTGGCTCATCTGGGTGCCTCCCCAAAGAGCTCCTGCTGGACACACAACTGTCCTTGGCCTGCCGGTCATCTCTGAGCAAGCTTGCCCCTTAGATCCAGGATCTGAAGCAAAAAACATCTCCATGCAGGAAAGGGTTCAAGCATCCTTAATGGGGAAAAAAGCCCTTATTGGCCTCCTTTGAGCTGCTCTTCTGTCTTAAGACCAAATGTTCCTGACCTGAGCTCTACAGTGTCCATGGATGAATCACATCTTTACATTTTTAACCTGTAATGTTTCCTTTGATTAGGAGAGCAGGGGAAAACAGGTATCTGTAGCACCTGTGCCTTGGTCACAGGTAGAAACCAGAAAGCTCTTCATATCACATTATGACTATTGTAAATATCTTGAAATGGGATTATGGGCATCACCACTTTGAAATTACAATAATTATTACTACATTTCTTTTCCTTTTTTTTTTTTTTTTTAAGATTTTATTTATTTATTTGACAGAGAGAGAGAGAGAGAGAGAGACCAGAAGTAGGCAGAGAGGCAGGCAGAGAGCGGGGGAAGCAGGCTCCCCACTGATCAGAGAGCCCGATGTGGAGCTCAATCCCAGGACCCCGAGATCATGACCTGAGCCGAAGGCAGAGGCTTAACCCACTTTGCCACCCAGGCGCCCCTATTATTACTACATTTCTTATGTAATGATTTATTAAAGAACCACCCATATCATTATGCCACATTTAAGAAAATTTTGGTAACTATACTTCAGTACAACAAATTTCCTTTATTTTATTTGCATACATAGAAACATTCTAAGAAGAGTTCTTAAGATTTACGAAACTGTCCAAAGGGTTCATGCCCCCCCCAAAAAAAGAAAGATTAAGACCGCTGCTTTAGATTCTTTCTGAAGGCCTGCCGAGACATGTGGTTTTTCACTTACTTATATTCAGCAAACTTTCAATGTGCCCCATTGTTCTACTTGGTAGGACACAGATTCTGGGTACACAATAGTGAGAAGGTAAGGTCCTTGCCTTCACAGGGCTTATATTCTAGACTCTCCATCAGCATGGAGGTTATTAGGAGGTAAGAAGAGAATGGGGAAGAGCTGCCCTATTCCTCTCCCATTTCAGTTTTGTCTACCATCTACACTTCTGTCTTGGCTGTTGTCATCCCTCCTGTTGGTAACTAACTTTCTGCCAAAACAGTGTCTGCATGGTGAGTACTCTCTAGGTATTGGTTACGCCTGCTTCAGCCTGCAGACTCTGCGGCCTCCAGCCCATCCTCCAGACTGTTTCTGAGTTGCACATCTGTTCAGGCTCTGCTCCCACCATAAACCCGTCAGCGGTTTCCCCATTTCCTGCAGGAAAAAGCCCGGTCTTGGTTTACCAGCCCCAGCCTATCTATCCAGCCCCATTTGTAGCCACTCCCAGCTTAAGACTTTCCCTCCAGCCATGTACAGTTGCCTGGGGCCCCAGAGCATTCTTGCCCACAGGCCTGTGCCTGAGCTTCAACCATAGCCCAGAATGTTCTTTCCCCAACTCTTACTGGTCCTTCAGGCCTCTGTTTGGGGGTTACCTCCTTCAGGAAGCCTTCCTAGAGCCCTCTGGACAGTTTAGGTGCCATTCTTCTGTATGTCTGCACCTCTTAGCACACTGCACTACGGGTGGTTAATTTACCTGTCAGAGTCTTCACCAGGAAGGCGAGCCCATCAGCCAGTTCTGCCTGGGTAGATGGAGCTGGTCCCATTCTGCAAACAGACCACACAGAGCAGTCATTTATAGTGAAGTCGCGGTCGAGTGACTTCCCAAGTTCAGGCTTCCTTGTAATTCCTGTTTTGTTCTCTGTACATTAGCAATGGGGAGAAGGCAGAGAAGAGTCTTCTCAAGGTTTCTAGACAGTTCATTCGGTCAGCTTAGATTATTCAAGTGACTGGCCCTACAATAACCTCAGCTAACATATCTTTTGAGCCTAAAAAATGGTAGGCGGTGCTGTAAGTTCCATATATGCATTATCTCATTTAATACTCACACAGCCTTAAGTGGTAAACACCATCATCACCCTCAGTCCCATTTTAGAGATGAGGAAACAGAGGCCTGGGGAGGTTGAGCCGCTGGACCAGGGATGCCCTGGGGTAAGAGGCAGGCTCACCATGCACGTCAGGCTGACTCGAGGGCCTGAGCTCCTACACAGTTCAGTGTACTGCTCACAGTCAGCGCAAAGGTTGGGGATGAGGAGTTCCTTCTTAATGTTAGCAAACGGGCACCATAGTCTTTGTAAGTCATAAACCTCACAGTCTTATCCTTGACAGTTGCCGTTCTCAGCTCTCATGTCCAGTCCATTCCCAGCTCCTGGGATCTGGTATTATCTGCTACTTTTGTCCAGCCTCAGGGCGATCGTCTCCTTCTCAGTCCCTACCACCATCTCTCACCTGTACTCCTGTAATGGTCTCCTGCCCCCAATCTCCTCATCTGCCCCAGCCCGGCTCTCACCTCTTCATACTGCCAGAGTGTTTTTTCCAGACAAGAATCTGATTTCCCCAGTCCTTCGCCCAAACCCTTTAATAGCATCTCCTTGCTCTTGTACACGAGACAAAACCCTAACATGACCACAAGGCCCTGGTGACCTGGCACTGCGAACTCCAGTAGCTTCACCTCGCCCTGCTCTCTCCTTTCCTCCCTGCCAGGCATGCTGGCTTCATCCTCGAACATGTCATACCCTTGTCCACTTTGGGGTCCCACATGTCGCTCTGTGCTACTTTTACTAGAATATCTGCTTGCAATGTAGAGGGTAGCTTAAATGTCACTCCCATAGGTAGGTCCTTCTCCAGGGCCGGCCAGGGTCCCCAGCAGTCCTCTCACAGCCTCCTCATCTTCTTGGTGACACTTACTACAGTTGTAGGTATTTGTAGTCTTTCTACGTGACTGTAAACTGTCTGGACCTGGATTAAGGCTGTTCCTTCTGGTATAGTGCCTTTCACATAAACAGTTAATGATAAATTATTGTTAAATGAATGAGTTAGAGAATGAATCAGTCAGTTGATGGGCCCTGGCCTTGGCCTCTGTGTTCTAAGGCTGATGCTGGGAGCATGAAGTGTGAGCATTCCAGTTTCTTTCCCTAGTGCTGGATCAAGACCAGAGTCCTAAAGGCCAAGAAAGCAGTCTTGTCCTAGGAGCCTTAAGTTTTTGAGGTAAAATCTTCCTTGCTTACACCCTCATTTCCTTTAGGCATAGCCTAAACTTTTCTCTTCGGTCATGCAAAGTTGCCTAGGAGAACTGTGTTAATTGGAAAGCAGAGAGCAGAAGGGAAGGGAGCATCTTTGAGATGAGACTAGGGAAGGGTTGAGAAGACTTCTCATCATCTAGGCTCTGGGATCTTCCTCAGACTCAGTGCACTTTGGACTTGGGTCATGGGGCCGACTCCCTGTACTTCTCACTTTTACAGTTAGTATGTCTTTTATGCCCAAGCACAGGCAGAATGTAGTTAGGAATCTGTTCTTCAGAACCAAGGGCAGCTGGACAGAGCACATATTGGCAATTTGGTTAGAGGTTGTTTGTGATCATGTGTAGCTACTCTGTAACGATGGGTCTAACTCCCAAGGCCCATTTGCAGACATGCCAACTCTCCATGTTTGAAGAGTGTCCCATGTTGATTTCCTGGACAAGCCTGGCTCTAAGAACACTAGTATAGTAGGGACCTGCTTTCTCTCTCATATCCTTGAGGGTGCCTTATTCTTGTGGGTGGCCTTGTGTCTGGTGGGGCGAGTGTCTACTCTCTGTAACTGGGCAGAAGGTCTGGGAGGAGGTATCAGAGAAGTTATGGGGTCCTTGTCCAGGGGAACTTTTCTAGGACTTTCTGCTGACTCATAATAAGACACAACACATTCCTTTTCATTCTTTTCTCACTGTCCTATCTCCACCTTGCTAAAACAGGAGGAATCTTTTCTGGGACAATGACTAGCCCCTTATACATGCAAGGAAGGATATCAGGTTTGCTTTGGTCATTGTAGGGACTCTTAGCTGCAGGCTGTTTGCCTGTACTGTCTTGGAACTAGCTGGATAGATTCAGGTATGTCACTGTCACTAGCAGGCCCATATTTTATATGCATTTTGGACCTAGGTGTTAGTGTGGGTTGCAGAAGCCAATGTTGACAGCTCATCTGAGAGGTTTCATCCATGACCATTAGTGATTCTAGAAGCATGCTATTTCCCAGCTCCTAATTGGTTCTTTCATTTTGTTTTCTCTGACTGGCCCTTGTGTGAGGTCTGCCTTTCAGTCTGGATCCAGATTATTGGACCAGTGATCTGTGTAACCATTACCAAATTCTGGGTAGGACCTGGGAACATTGTATGGAGAAGCTCGGACTCAGAGTCAGATAGACCTAGGAATAAATCCTGGCTCCAACTCTTCATTTATTCAAGAAACATTTGTTGAGCACCAACTCGGTGCCAGGCACTATTCCTGGGGATACTTCAGTGAACAAAATAGACAAGTCCTTGCTCTCATGGAGTTTCTATTCTGGAGGGAAGCAAACTTGTGTGTAAAATAGATAATGCCAGGTAATGTTAAATGCTGTGAAGAATCCGTTCCTGGGCGTGGAGACCAGGGAAAGTTACTTAATATCTCAGACCTTCATTTGACACGTGTGTAGAATAGAGATTCTGTCCCTACCTCTCAGGGCCATTGGGATTAAAATGAGATGAAAGTCATGGAAGTACCCAGGAGACACCTAGGAGCCACTGGTTGCCTTTGCTGATCTTCCTCCTCACACAAGCATCCTATGCAGATTTGGTGAGGTTTTTCATTAAAAAGTTAAGACAGGCCCCTGCCTATCAGAACACAGAGGGAGGATCTGGTGGCGTTGCCTCTTCGTTGCACTCATCCTGGCTGCTTTTCAGTGGTCATTTCCAGTACCTCTTCTTGGATTTTTTTTGCAAGGGTACATGTGAAAGCACCTTGAGGCTTCCTAGCACGTAGTAGGCATACAAGGATTTTCAGTCAAATGGCAGACTCTTGTGCCTTTGGGGAGAGAGAGAAGAGCAGCAGGTCTGATGGGCACACGTCACGTTTCACGGCCAAGCTGGGAGACCCAGCGTGTACCTGCGCCAAGCCACCTGCTGTTGCTGCTGATTGTTGGCTCAGTTCCACTAACTGCTTGCTTCAGAAGAACCCAAACAGGGATTCCAGAGAGTTTGCTTCTACAGAATGAGGGTTTTGGAAATTCTCTCTCACAGATGCCTTGACGGTAGGCCCCTCCTTGAGCAGGAGTAAGAGAGATAGCTACAGGTACAGCTGCAGGGCCTTACCATGGGGACCAGACACAGCTGTCCCTGGGGCTGACTGCACTAGGAAAGGGGAACCCCGCCGTGATGTTTTCCAGGCGTGGGAACAGACTGGGTGGCACCTGGGCTTTTGGTCTGGAAGAGGGGAGAGCATGGCTGGAGTATCTTCTTGTTTCGGCTCCTGGAAGTAAAATGGGTGCTGACCTCTCTGACCTGGTTTCCACCTCCTGTTTACAGGCTGTGCACACGGGCATGCGAGCACTCATCTACAACAGCTCTGCGGGGGGCTCTCAGGCTGAGCAGTCGGGCATGAGGACCTACTACTTCAGTGCAGACACCCAGGAGGACATGAATGCGTGGGTCCGGGCCATGAACCAGGCCGCACAGGTGCTGTCTCGATCATCGCTGAAGAGGTCAGTCCCAATGGAAGGTCCCCATCAGAGTACTTCACACACTAGGATGCGGACCCAGATAAGAACATTTGGGTGCCCCAATTCCACCTTTCAGTCACTCGTATTAAGCACTGCCCTTTCTTTGAGGTCCTATTTAACAATGAATTCTTCTGGGAGGAGAATGCATACATGGTACGGTCCTCCAGAAGTTATCTGGTCCTCTCCGCATTGGGCAGAGAAATGCAAAGACCTGGAAGGGTGAGGTGATTGCCTGGGATACGGAGCCTTGGAACCTGGTGTGCACGTTTCTCATTTGTCCTTCTCTTCTGTGGGGTGGGAGGGACAGTCTTGGGGCACCAGACTGGGGAAGAGAGAGACAAATGAGAAAGATCTGCCAAACTGAAAATGTGCCTCAGACTGCCCACCATGTTGCTGGGGCTAGCCAGGGGGCTATCTTCCAGCTACCCTTTCCCTCAGGTGGTCAAACCAAGGGCACACTCAAGGATCTTGAGATTCCTGAGTCTGTTGGCTGTGGGTAATTCCCTGAGAGAAAGCGCAGGACGAAGAGTGGAGTCAGGGTCTCGGAGAAGGTAGGAGAGCTCTAGAAAAGTCAGGGTGTACGTTGGCCAGTTCTCCTCTGGCATGGGCCTGTATTTCACTATCTGGACACTGTCCTCTGTTTAGAGGCCCCCTTGACTGTGGTCTGTCAGTGAGGCCTCAGAACAAAAGGTTGTTCTCCAGCAATCTAAAGGAAGGATTTTTCAGCGACTGCAAGTGGATTTCATTCGGTATGTTTTAGCTCGTCAACCCCCGCCCCCCCCGCCAAAATCCTTCCTTACCAGTGTGTATGTATCTGCTTTATTTTGGACTGTTGTATATGGCATTTTATAGGACCATAATGATCCCAGCCTTGGATGGTTTATTTTTTTCCTCAACTTTTACCATTATAAATAGTCCTGTAATGAAAAGCCTTTTACAGGCCTCTGCATGTGTGCCTTTCAGATTGCTGGGTGAGAATACAATGCGTTTCTAATTTAAATCAGTATACTAAGTTGCCCTTTAAAGAAAGCAGTATAGTCCCCTAATGAGAGTACTCATCTCATCACATCTTTGCCAGTAGTTGATATTGTCAAGCTTTTAAATTTTTTGCTGAGCTGCTGTGTAGATAAATAGTATCTGGTTAGGGACGCCTGGGTGGCTCAGTCGTTGAGCATCTGCCTTTGGCTCGGGTCATGATCTCAGGGTCCTGGGATCGAATCCCGCATTGGGCTCCCTGCTCAGCGGGAAGCCTGCTTCTCCCCCTCCCACTCCCCCTTCTTGTGTTCCCTCTCTCTCTCTCTCTTCTCTTGTCAAATAAATAAATTAAATCTTAAAAAAAATAGTATCTGGTTATTTCAGTGTATATCTGCATGATGGTGGAAATCTTTTCTGTTTATTGGGGGCTTCTGTTTCCCATTCAGTGCACTGCCTGTACCTGTCCTCTGCCCATTTTTCTACTGAGCCATTTGCCTTTTTCTGGTGCTTTCTGTCCTGTGTGCTGTGAAATCTGCCCAGTTAGGGATGCTGCTTAGCCTCTAGGTTGGTGGTAGCCTGTCCAGTCTTACGGTGAATGGAATCTGATTTTCCCTTCTTTTGAAAATCAGGATGCTATTTGCCAGTCTCTAATATTTTGGCCATTTTCCCATTCTCTTTGATTCTTCAGAAATCACCTGAGAGGTTTCTTGAGCCTTTTTCTGAGTTCCCTTAGGCCCTGGGATGCTGACGCCTGGGGCCTTTCCCATCTTCCTTCCGGTCTTGGACTTTCAGTCTCTCATAACTGAGGTTGTTTTCCTTTTTACAGAGAAGATCATCCTTCTTGATGAAGATATGGAACTAAATCCAGAAGTTGTTAAAGCATTCAGCTTTATTTATATGCATCATTTTCCCCAAGCAGAGATACCCACGTCTCATATTCTTTTAAAGCCCTCCCGACCTTCATTTTAATTCTTAGAAAAATAGAAAGTTTGTTTTTGTTTTGCTTTGCTTTAAATAAGCGAAGTTCAGCTCCTTCTAGATTCTGCCTTTCTCGCCATCATTCCTGTGGGCCTGTCCACTGTGCATATGCATCTGTGCTTGATTTCGTGCCCCACCTTCCTCTTCTTGTGCATGCCCTTTTCTAACTTGAGCTCCGAGAGCTGCCTCCGTGATTGTCCTGGCTCCTTTAGACCAGCAATGGCAAATGGGTTCTTTCTTGGGGTCCCATTTCTGCTCAATTCTTCATGGCTGACTAGGGCACCGGGCCAAAGGTAGCCATGAGAATGAAATCAGGCTTAACAGGAAGGAGTATTGTGATTGAAAAATGATGCCTGCCTCAAACTATTCAGGATTAATTTGCTAGCTGAGATTTAGCTATTTTTTTTTTAATTTTTCCTAACTGAAGATGTTGTACTTAACTATCCCCAGATTCTGTTTCAGGCAGGCTCCATCCCTTATCTGTTGGGCTACCTTCCTTTCCTTTTAGGGTCTCAGGCTATTGTCCCTAGATTTTCTCTGAACTTTTAATTTTTGTTCTTATTATGTGCTTACTAAATTCTTAAAATCCCATAATCATGCTTGCCCAAGATTCCTTCCTTAAAAACAAACAAACAAACAAACCAAAAACCCAACTTGTTTTACCTTCTGAGTCTGAATAAAGGCAGAATAACATTTTCCTTTAGCTTTCTGAGAGACGAAATAGTTAGCTAAGCAAATCCAGACTTATTAAATGTTCTATGTTCCCAGAATAAGATGTTCAGACATTTGGTTAGTTAGAATTATTCATCAGACAGTACTAAATCTTTCTTCTCCTCCAGTTTGGTGATCTGCTCTGGAAAACCTCCATCTGTGTTAAGTGGGGGACCCCAGTGGTCATGTATCAGTCTCTGCCCAACTTGATTCTCACCAGATGCTTCTGATCTTATTCATATGGACAGATGCTTTATGTATGTGGTATATATAGTAGGACTCCTGATTAAGGTAGTAGAAAATGCACACAAATTTATTTTTTTTTTTCAAGATTTCATTCACTTAGTGAATAAGAGAGCATGAGCAGGGGGACGGGCAAAGGGAGAGGGAGAAGCAGACTCCCCTCTGAGCGGGGAACCTGATGCCAGGCTTGATCCTGGGAATCTAGGATCATGACCTGAGCCAAAGGTGGACGCTTAACTGACTGAGCCACTCAGGTGCCCCTAAATTCATCTTAAAAAGGGAGCAATTCATTGGTTACCTTCAGTGAAAAGTTCAGGATAGGTCTAGCTTTAGAAACAGGTAGGCTCAAGGCTCAGACCATATTAGAAGTCATTATCTCAGGCTCTAGGCTCTGGCCACCTCTGGTTTGGGTTCATTCTTCAACTGCACGTGGAGGTCCATGAAAGATCCTAGATCTGATGGCAAGGTAGCTGCAGGAGCCCTGGAGTCCTGTCATCCGGGGGTAAAAGTCTAGCAGGAAAGAGCCAGAGTCTTGTTCAGAGCCATTCTGATTAGACAGGCTTAGATCACATTTAAACCGTACACCATGTCCTGTGGCCAGGGAATGCTCATGCCGACTGGCACAAGCGCAGGATACATGCTTTACTTCTGAGAGCCAGACCCCAGGGACTGAGGGTGAGGTAGGGGTGAATGCCCAAGTCAGTGCTGGGACTGTGGGCAGAGGAAGGGGAAATGACTCACTGGGATGGGATAAAGGAGGCACAGACAATGAACATCCAGGCTGGCTGATTCACTCCTCACTTTCTCCTGTATTGGTTTCTTTTATCTTTAGTTTTCTTCCCAGAGTTTAGTGTCTGAGGTCATATAGAAGTGGGTTCAAATCCCAGCTCTACTACTTTCTAGCTGAGTCACTTGTACAGATTAGGTATGCTTATTAAAGCTTAGTTTTCCTTAGTCCAGAGGGCTATTACAAGTGTTAAGTGTTAAGTCAAATAAATGAATGTAGGGGACCTGGGTGGCTCAGTCTGCTGAGCATCTGCCTTTGGCTCTGGTCCTGGGTTGGAGCCCCACATCAGGCTCCCTGCTCAGCGGAGAGTCTGCTTCTCCCTCTGCCTCTGCTCATGCTTTCTCTCTCTCACGCATGCATAGATTCTTTAAAAAAAAAAAAAATGAATGTATAAAGTGCTTACTTCATAAGATACCTAAGATACCTTATGGCAGGTATGCTACCCTCCGTAGGGTTTGGTTTAACAATGTCATGGGCTCTTTTTTCTTTACACCCTCCCAGTCTCATTGTTCATCCTCTGGATCACATTGATGAGGCGTCTTCTAGGAACAAATTGCACTCTCTCCCTTATCAGGTTGTAGTCATCCCACAGCAGTGTGAGTTGTGGTTCTCTTCTCCCCAAGCTCTAGCACCATCCCTCCACCTGCCCCTCCCCTCCTTCCTGCTCCAGCCTCTTCCCACATTGTTCTCCTGACCCAGGAACAGAGCTGAGCACCCTTGCTGCAACTCCTGACTTTATCCCTTTGCTTCCTACACAGGCTTTGGAGTCTCTTGATAGAAATTCATTTCTGTATTCTTCTTTTTTTTTAAGATTTTATTTTATTTATTTGACAGAGAGACAGTGAGAGAGGGAACACAAGCAGAGGGAGTGGGAGCGGGAGAAGCAGGCTTCCCTCTGAGCAGGGAGCCTGATGTGAGGCTCAAACCCAGGACCCCGGGATTATGACCTGAGCCAAATGCAGATGCTTAACGACTGAGCCACCCAGGTGCCCCTCATTCACGAATTCTTAAGATCCCGTCCCACACACCAGAAGGGCTACTCTGCAGTGCTGCCAAAGCCTGCTTCCTAGCTCTTTCTGTTCATAATTTCGTCCCCCATTTCCATGTTCTTCCACTCGCCGGTCTTTGGACTCTCTTGAAATCTCTCCTCCCAAGTCCCCTGCATTGGACTGTTTTTCGTCTTGTGTCTGAGGATGTTTTGTCCTCTCCAGCAAGTTAAGGCAGTAAGCAAGGAGGTCAACTTGCCTTTGTAGCTCACAAAACTGACAAGCAGCTCAGACAGGAGGGC